AAAAAAAACTTGCATTTGTAAAATCTGTAGTGTAAAAAACAATCACAATGGCCACATCAAAGAAGGATAAAAATAAAATACTTAGTTTAAATTTATTTGTAAAAATGCAATAGCATCACTAAAATTCTTTAATTCACTGTATAGAACATTATTTAACATCACTAAAAATAATAAGACTCAATGATGCCATGCCATGGCATGGCATCTAAGAGAGGAAAATGTTTAAATTCAAATTTTATTAAAAGTGGGGGCTTTTTTGTTACATTCACAAATTATGCGAAATGCCTTCTCACTGAAAAACTTAATTTTGATATGATCAATTCACGTTAATTTCATCAATTATTATTGAATAAGAAAAGCTCTACCTTCAGCGTTTGACAGTATGTTTCCAAATTAAAGCTAAAAATTTAATGAAAAATTATGTACAATTTTGATAATGTGACTAATAATCACCATGCTAACAAACAGAATCAGTTTAATTAAAATGGAAAAAAAAAAAAAAAATTGAATTTTTAAATACTTTCTCGGAAAAATTACAAGTTTGATTCCCGCTTCTTGTTCGAAGAGAAAGCTTTTTAAAAATTCTTTGCTATTATTATTAAATTTCGAGTGAATGAGAAATTAAAATTGGAAATATTTATATAAATTTATTTACATTTACAATTTAAGTTTTACTATACATAAAGGTTCTAGCTAGATAAATTATGTTTACAAAAATAATTTTTAGGCGAGAGCTCGGAGAGTATATTTGAAATGTTTATAAGTAGCTCTGTAGGTGAAACGAGTAGCAACACGTGCTTTCAAAATCCTGACATACCAACATTTATTTTAATTCCACTCTTCATTACTAAACTTGTCTGTAGTAGTCGAGATCAAATAAAGGTAATATCATTGTTTTTTTTAATGTTGGACGACTTTCAAGTACAACTAAAAATAAAATTGAGTTGATAACTAATAATATCGTAATTTGCACGAAATTCGGTTAATGTGAATTTTAAAAAAAGAAAAAAAGTTTAAATGGGTTGGTGTTAGAAGTTAGACAACAAATATTTAACGGTGATTTCCAAAGAGAAAAAATATTGACATACACTAATAAAGACAGAAGACATTGTGTTCGTCCGTTGCCTGCCAGTGGCAAGTAGAAAGCAGAGATCTTACAATCTGATCAAAAACTAGTGCTACTACTAACTTATTAGAGATTCTCCTACCCAAGAGTAGTAAGCAGTCGAGCACTGACAATAAAGGAGAAAGGAAGTTGTAGTAGATGGCAGAGCTAACTGGTACTCGTATTATTACTACTACTACTACTACTTTGAATAAAATAAATAACAAAACCGAAGTAAATAAGTAAAATAAGTTTTTTTAATGCACAAAATACGATCAACATAAGATATCACGGGACTTTTTTTTTTTAAATGTGTTGTTGATACTGCCCCCTTCCCCTTACAAAAACATCAACACTTCCTCTGGGAAAAGAAAGATCCCACTGAAGATAACGTTTTAGATGTTTTTTTTTTCCTTTTTTGTTATGAAATAAATATTCACAGAAAGATAGAAGGTACAGAAGAATCTAATGTGAATATAGTTGGCAGAGTATCTATTTTTAAAGGCCTTCCTTCGGATAGACAGAAAAATGAAGGAAGAAATGAAGCAGCACAGTTCCACCGTGATAGTGACGTCAATATGGCAGGAAACACCAGTGTAACATTATTATGAACTATGAAGTGAGGATGACAGAGGTTTAAAATGAAAACGGTTCTTACACCTAGTCAGCAGTCATTAAAAAATAAAAAATAAAAAATTCTCATCAAATAATATATCATTATTACTTACTAATAATCAATTTAGGAAATTAAAAAAAAAAACACTTTTTTTAACACAATAATTGAATAATATATAATTCAGGTGTTTTGTTTTAATTTTCAAGACATCCCGAAAATTTCCTGCAAAATCTTTTTTTCCTCACTAAGGTTAGCATAATTTTAGAATTTATTCCATCAATCATGTTGCATAGAGAATATTTTTCTTTGTATTCAAGCAAACCCAATTAATAATTTAATATATTTTAGCTTTTTTTTTCTTGCATTGATAGTAAAACATTTCTATAAACATGAACACTGAACAGTTTAAATTTTTAATTCTTCTATCATTAAGGAAAAGAAAAGTAATCCATAAAGTTTTCTTTTCTGCCAACTCAACTGCAAACCCGACACTAGCATAGTGAAGTTTGTAGTAGTACTACTACTTACTGGTATTGCCACCAAAAGATAAAATAAATTCTTCTAACACTAGACTCTTTAGAGAAGATGCACTTTTTTTTTGTTTTTTTGTAACTGCGTGCTTGCCAAAGCTTAATATTAATTTTTTTTAAATTTTAGATTTTTAGACTGCACATATTTCACTAATCTTTCTTTGGCAAACTTAATAGATAGTTGGTTATTGAATAGTGAATATCTACACAAAATACAAGGGATGCTTTTTGTAAATCAGGACAACAAATACTAAAACAGAAACACGAGGGAATGAAAGAAGAAAAGAGAGAAGTTAACACCCAGATATGGAAGTAGTTTTCTGTTTTCACTTCAATAGAATATACGACAATCAGATGAAAGAGAGACAGAAATACTTTTTTAGTCTACATATTCAATTTAAAGCAAAAATTAATTGAATATTTGATTAAATTAAGCCGATAAGTTAAAGAAAATAATATTTTTGAGGATAAACATTTTAAAAAGCGATCATGAAGGAACTGAAAAGAGTTGATTGTTAAAAAATATAATGTAGAAACAAAGATTATTCCAGAGAATAGAATAAACTACAGACAGAATCAAGGAACTTTTTTTCACAGGAAGTCGAAATTATAAACAAGTTTTGTAAAAATAGTAAATTGATTACAGGATTATTTACATTCAATTCCACACGAAATGGATTGATTTGCTAACAAACAAAATGTCCTATTTTTACGATTTATTGTCGCTTAGATCCACGATCAATGACAACTATTCAAATTAAAACACTCATGTTTATTTTTAAAACTCATCTAGTTAGTAAGAGAAAAAATAAATCCAACTACCGAGAGGATGAAACACACCAGGCCTTTTTCTTTTCTTTTTTTTTTTTCGAACGATTGAAAGTTTTTTTTGCTTACATTACACAGAGAAGACACGCAATACGTTGCTAGCCTTATTTGATCACGAAATCTAGCATTATTAAAGTTATGTATTTTTACATCGTTTATTTACACGAGGTGTTCGATGAAGATAGAAAAATCGACGTTAAAAATAAACAACAATCAATTTCAAATATACTTTCGAAATTTACTTTCCAACACTTTTTTCTCTAAGATCAAAGAGAAGAATAACTTGAATTATTTGCCAACTCATAAAACGATTTTAAACTGAAGTAAAAAAAAAAAAAAAGTCATTGCAATCAACCTAAAGCACAACGGAAAAAAATATTGACACTAAGCGCAGCATGTAAAAAACATTAAAATGTTACAGTTTAAAATTTACTCAAGACCAGAAAGTAAGTAAATAAATACTAGTTTAATTGTACTTAGTATTTTTTTTAAACATACTCAAGGTTGAAATTATTTTTCTTTTGCATCATAGCTAATTTTCGAAAGGCTTGCTTTTTAATGTTAAAAATAAAACATCATGGAAATTTTCACGCGTTTTTATTTTCGTGCTTTCAATAAAGCTGAACACACCCATTTCTTTTTTTTACGATAGGAAAAATATGAATCGGAGAAAAAATGCATTACTGAAACCACTGACGGTTAAGAATTCAGGCACAAAAAACTGATAGCTAATTAACAATATCTCTATTTAAATTGTGGTTAATCTTAAAAACAAAGAAAAGATAAATTCAAGATTTTAAAGAATTAAAACAATAATGAACTTATTTAACAAAAAAAAAAAAAGTTGTTTTTTTTAACACATGAACACGCCAGAATGTGTATTGTTACGAAATCAAGGAATGAATAAAGAAAAGAATGTACATTTTTAGAACGTAGATTATTTCTTTTATGCTGCATATATCGTTTTTTTTTTTTATAAACAGTCGTACCTAACCTTTTTAAAAAAAAAATACCAACCAGAGAAAAATCTACGTTAAACGTTTAAAGAAAAGATATAAAAAAAAAAAAACAACTTTTTTTTAGGTGCATGATGACAATTGACAAATATAATAATCAATGTTTAAGATTTGGTTATCTGTTTTTACTTTTTTTCTATGCCAAATTTCCCCCCAAAAGTACTAAGTAAAACAAACGATAATTATTCGGATTTCTTGGAATAGAGTTTATTATTGTAGAAGCAACATCATTATTACTTTTTTTTAGTTTGTTATTACTATGCGATTATTTTATAAAATATTCATTAAAAAAAGTAAACAATCTTTTTTAAAACGATTAAAGTTAATCACTAAAAAGAAAAATAGAACCAATCTTAAAATTCAGATTTGTTTATTTATTAATTAAATAAAAATAATATGGATCTAAGAAAGATACCTTCAAAAAACAAATAAAACTAAAAAGAAATGTGCATAAAAAAAACATTAGGACATACTTCCAACGTCAGAATGGAAAAGGCGATCCAACATGAATGAGAGTAGTCCGCTTTCTTTTTAGCTTTGGTTAAACGTTTGGAACCTTTTAAATCAAAAGATTAAAATTTCTTTCGTTCGTAAAAATTTCTTTACAAAATGGATCCCCAACAAGTTACACAATTGTACCTAATATAATTATTTCACAATCTCAGAGCCTTGACTGACGATACAAAAATGTGTCACAGCCACAGACATGCGTGTGTGTGCCATAGTAACTATGTAATAATAAATGCACGTACACAATAAAATAAGAGGGAATAATCGAAATAAATTGCACTACACTACAGAATGAATAAAAAAAAATAACAAAGGCGCCCTCGTTTCGATTTTCTTTTCTCATTTTCCACGTAGTAATCGAATGTCGTTTTGTAAGATATTACATTCGTACTCACCTCAACGAATAATATTTCAAAGTAAAGACGAATAAATGAAGGAAAATAAAGTAGCAATATTTGTTGAGTCTGCTTTGCCGGTCAATGTTTATCCGAGCTGAGCGTCCTCATGGTAGATACCGAGCGCTTTACAAAAGCTGGTCATCGATTCGATAATTCCGCTTTCAAGATTTCGTAAGCTGCTGTCTGATTTGTCGAAACCAAAAAAATGTAACAAAATTTTCCATTGGCCAGTTATATAGCTCCCTGCTATAAAAGTGCATTGCGTTGGCTTTTCGAGGGCACGTGACTAGAGAGAATGGGAGAAGTGCAGGTTGTTGAAGGAGGCGGCTGTGGGTTTATTTGTAGGACACGGCGAACAATGTGGTGCATTTTTTTCAAGCGAATTTTGATTTAAGGAAATTATGGGATAAGGAGTTTACGAATATGGAGGGGAAAATAGTTCAGCACTATTGAGTAAAAAAAGATTGAAGTTTAAAATAATTCGATTAGCAAATGGTTTTGTTGTGATTTGATAAGAGGCACCGAGACAGTTGAGTGAGTACACTTAAAATCGGTGCTTCTTGCTAAGAAAATAAAAAGAAAGAAAATGCTTCTGATGAATGCACAATCAGTTCGTAACGAAATTCTCACATGCTGCCTTTGCCTTATTTCTCGATGATTGCAAAAGTGGAGCTTGAAGTTTACAAAAAAAATATTGAATTAAATTTCAAAATGTTTTTTTCGTTATAATTTCTGCGATCGTGATGCAATATTGAAGTGGAGTGTCTCTAAAAATATGAAGTTGCTGAATGCTCGGTTAATTTAAATTTGCTAACAACAAGTATTAAAGAACTATAATTGAACTGTTTTGGCTTTTGGTAGTTTCTCTAACGATGCGCTTGATGTAGCTATTTGATTGTCATTTAAAAATATAATTGGCATTTATGATTTAACACAAAAAAACACGTCTTTTTTTCCATTTTATAAGTATACGATAGAAATGAAGTGAAATTTCTAAAGTGGTAATAATATTGGTAGATAAACTTATTTTTTTATGATCCCAAATAAAGAAATATTGTTAAAAAAAAAAAAAAAAAAAAACAACCTCAAACCAATTACAAATAACGGGGGAAATATAAAACTAAGAAAAGCAAATATATTTTTTCAATATGAAATTTGATACAAAAACAATTTCAGGTCATGCGTCAATACGTTAAAAAAATAAAACTATTCATAAAACTGTAAGAAGGATGTGTGATAATATTCAATTTTTAATAATTAATACAGCTAGAGTGTTCAGGGATATGTCAAAAAGCCCAACAAAGAATGATAGATAATCAGCGTACCCAAGGGAAATACCATCAAAAAGTAATATCCAAAATAAAAACTTGCAAATGTAGTAGAAAATGACAAAGAAAAAGCAATTGCTGTTGGTTTAAATCAAAAAACTTTTCCCCCAAAGAGTAGGCAAGTCTTTGCAACATGTCATAGTCAGTCAGCTGGTCTACACAATGTCAAGCAACTCCCTTTGCTAAAAGAAGGTATCAGTGTCTAGAGATCAAAACATTCAGTAACAACTGAAACGTCAGCTTCTTATCAATATGCTTGGACTTCCCTTTCTCCTGTAAACTACTTTAATTTACAAAACTGTATGAACTTTATATTAGACATATATGCATTTCTACAATCATTTCAAATAAGATTGTCTACTAAAAAGACATCCAAAATCAATTCGTACCTTTACATACAAAAACTTTGTTGTAAAAATGAAAACAAATTGCAAGTTAATTTACTGTTGACTAATTACCAGTGCTACTATTAATAATTCATAAATACATCAAAAAGAAAATGCTTTATATTTTAATTTGTGTCAGGAACTTTCATATGGAACTGCTACATAAATTAGAAATAATTAAAAATAGAGAACTGCAAGAAGTCAGCTGTGTAAATGTTTTGTAAATTCATTTTGAAATGTCAAGGGTAAAAGTTTGGATTTTCTAGTAATTTTTAAATTCTCTACAATTACAAAATAGAACATTTATAAACAACCCAAATCCCAATATATATAAATCTTGTTTTCTACAAACTAAATGCATATTTCACATCAGGTCTGCTAACTTATTACAGTCTTTTTCCTTTAATTTTAGCAGTTTTATAAAACATTACAATGAAATATTGCATATTTTCAAGTGACGCTAAACTTTTGAATGCTGATCTTCTCGACTTGAAAGTGATTCTATCCCCATTTGATCTTATATTGTACTAAGCCAACATTAAGTATCAAAATTGACTTTTGAGATACCTGTTAGTATAGATTAGACCCATGATATAGCTGTAGTAACAGTTTGGTTTACAAGACTAACTTATGAATCATTACTCCTTACTGAGATGCCCAAATTTTTTATCCTTATCTAAAGTGAAAATTTCCTAGCAGTTTTTTTATTAATAATATCCAAACTGTATGAAGGGTTGCAAATATAATGCAATTTTTTTTTTATTATTATTTAACAATTTTACATAATAATTATCTAAAAAATTCCAAGTTTTTACTTTGGTTGATTCTAAAATATATGTATTATTTTGGTAAATATTGGTGTTTACACTATTGACTGGTGAACTTTTACATAATAAAACCAGTTAATACATTTAGCTCCTTTAATACATTTTAATTTATATTTTCACAATGATGCATTATCTCGAGTTTCATCAAACTTGTTTGTGAATATAATTTTTTTATTATAAAAAATATTGCTATTGATTCATTATTTATGCAGTCTTTACTTAATGCTTCTAATTTTATTTTTATTTTTTTTATCCTTCCTAAAATATATTAAATCTTCTGTATATGAACATAGCTTTTTTGTTTTTTAATGCTGTGGCATATGATTTAAACTAAACTTATCAAAGTTTTTAGAAGATAAGTTGCAAGAGAATTATTTTTAAGAAAATTTAAATAAAAGACAGTCAATAACAATTCCTATTGATAAATTTCTCCCATTTTAACTATGGATCATTCATTCAGGGATTTCCATCTAATGCTAAGCATTTGGTTCGACAGCAAGAAAAGCTGACAAAAACATAACCCTAATTCTTTTCTGCATTCAACAATACCTGCATAAGAGAGAATTTGCTACCTGAATATAAGTTATTCAACATATTTTATTCCTTGTCTACAAACAAGATATTTCTTTTTTAGATTTAGTGCATGCAGAAATTGTCCAAATGATAGCTCATTCTGGGTACTTTTGGCTAATCTATAAGCCATTTTCAAGGATTTTGCTTATGGTATGCAAGTTGCTGAGAGGTAAACATTTAATTTCTGAATATGGCCAATATATTTGTAGTTGATGTTGTTAAGGGTTTTTTATGTTTCTATTATTTTAGAAGCCTTCATCAACAATAACAGATTTTATATATATTTTTATTTACTCCTTTTATTATTATGGTGTTCCGAAGAGAAGCCATGCATCAGGGTTTTTTTCTAATATATGGAAATAGTAGGCCCCATAATGGTTGAAATGTGAAAATGGATTTTTTTAAATAAGCTTTTGTAATATATATTTTGATTTTGGATGGATATTTGTTGAAGTAAACCAACTTTAGAACAGTTACATTCATGAAGCACTCAATGAGGAACTACATTAACAATAGCTTGTGAGACTAGTACACTAAATATTGTTCTTTTTCTTGACTGCATTTTAATTTATGTTTTTCTAATTTGCTATTAATTCAGTTTTAGTACTAAAGTCCAATTGATACAGTCTGACTGGATTTTAATTTTTGCCAATGTATCCATTATTATTAGACTGACAAGTATCATATGAACGCATATTTACAGATTATCAGAGGAAATTTGGCTTAGACAAAAAGTATATAATCTGTTCTAAAGGGCTTATGCAATTTTTTTAGTTATTTTTTAAATGATATTCCTAAACAATTTTTTATCTATTGTAAGTGCATTTAATTTTCACACACACACACACACACACTCATATATAACACATAGTCAATGCTAATATAGAAATGCTCAATAAAAGTACTCAATCCTGTAAAGAAATTAAATAAATAAATACCTTAGCAAGTTAACTACACAGAGAGGATAAAAGCAATTCATAATTATCAAAATATAACCTAGCCTGAAATTTAAGTTGGTAAGGTATTTATAAATATACATGTGTGTGTGTGTGTGTGTGTGTGTGTGTGTGTGTGTGTGTGTAAGTTAATAAGTTCATTAGCTAAATTCTGATCTAAAATTTCCACTATCATTTTCAATCTATATAATTAATATTAAGTACATTGATAAGGGAGGAAATGTTGAAAAATAGATAAATGTGCCCACAATAAGACAGTCTCAGAAGGACAGTTTTTCTATTGACACCACTTTTTTTTTCTTCTTTTTTTTTTTATAACTATCTTCAGTTTTTTGGCAATGTTTATGGTTTTAAAGAGTGATGATTAGAATTATAATAAAACCTAAACATATGAAAGTGAATTTATACATTTTTTTTCTTGAGAATTGGCCTAAAAATAATAAGCACTATTTATTTTTTATATTGTTTATTTACACTATTTATTTATTACATTATTTATTGGTATGGTTTACAAAACATCAGCTAATTATCAATTGATTCAAACTTTATAAAATGGTAAATAATAAGGATTCACATATTTTAATAATTTAGTAAATGCATAAATTTATGAATGAAAAATATTTTGCATTTCTTGGTAAATGATAAATATTGCATTGTATTAGTTCTAATTGTATTAGTTTTTAGAATGTTGTAAATATAAAATTATTCTTGTAAATAAACAATAAATAATGTTTATTGTAAATAAACAATAAATAATGTTTATTGTAAATTCTCAAAAAAAAAAAAGAAAATGTATAAATTCATTTTCATCATGTGTTTAGGTCTTATTCCAATTCTAATCATCTCTTTTTAAAAGAATAAACATTGCCAAAGAGTGAAGGTAGTTAAAAAAGTGGTGTCATGGGAAAAAACATTTTTTTGACACTGTCTTATTGCAGGGACGTTTATCCATGTTTGTCAAATGTTTGTTGCGTAAAATCAATGTTTTTATCACTTGGTTGCGGATTTATTGTTATACATGTGTAAGACACAAAGTGTGAGATTTTAAAGGTTTGTTGGAGAAGTTTCTTGAAAGTCTGTTTTAGTATGTCAAATGCAGTTAATAAAGTCATTATAGATCAATGTTTATTCAATAATTTTGATATATTTTACAAATTTATTAGGATATACAACGTCTTCATTAACAAGAAAGAAAAAATGTTAGTTTGTTGAGTTTTTCAATCTGAAGTAGAGGCAACATGCACTTCTCACTTTTTTCTTCAGTATTTTCATTATAAATATTAACTATTTAAATATATGTATTACTCAGAGATATAACACAACAAAAATTAAAATTTGGAAGAAAACTTCCTTTAAGCATTATAATTTATTATAATAATATTTCTTGAATGTTACTTCACAGATTTTCTAATAGCTGTATTCTTTCACTCTTAACCAAATCCTTTTATATTCAAAGAACTTCCTAATTGTTGGCAACATAACTGTAATCCCTTGAGGCGGAAAAAAACACCAAGAGTATGTGTGTTTGTTTGTGAGAGAGAGAATATTAGCAAGCCTAATAATTTGTAGGCAGCATTTTTTCAAGTGATTTAATTTAAATTTCTCCAAAAATGTTTTTGTTGGTAATTTGAAAACTCCAAAAGATATGTTATAAAATATTTTTGAGTGAGAAATATCAGCATGATAATAAGTGTAAATCAATACTTGACATTTTAACAGAAGTTTATTCAAAATATTTTTATTCAGGCCAACACCAATGAGATTGATTGATTTGTTTTCATATTGCTTATCAACCTTTGGTAGGTTATTCAAAGCAAAAACATATTTTGGATTGCAGGAGGTTTACTTAGAGTACCCAGTATTCCCCCAGCTAAGTACTGACCAGGCTTGACACTGCTTAACTTTGGTGATTGAATGAGAACCTGTATTTTCAACATGATTTGACTATAAGGCACACCAATGAAAGAAAACTAAAGAAATTGCTTTAAACTTATAGTTTTCATATACCATTACATTTTTAATTAGCATAAATTTTATAAATGCATATTTTTTTGGTTTGATTTGAAATATGCTTTCTTTCAAGGTACCCTATTTGATAGCAAAGAATAATGCATCCTACTATTTAAAATGACTGTAAAAAAAAAAAAAAAAAAAAAATAAAAATCACCCTGCCTGATAAATGGAAAATGGTCCTGAAGTCAATACTTGGCTTTTACTTTTGTGACAACCAGTTTTTATTTCCTGCTGATATGAGTGAGTATCATTTCATGCATGTTGTCATCAAAAGATTAAATTTTTGGACACCTTCATCTGCAATACTATACTGAGAGTTTTGTTAGTAAGTTTTGGTAAAGTAGGGAGTAAAAATAAATCAGAATGTACTCTAACTTTACTACCAATCTTATTCTTTTTTAAGAGATAAAAAATAAATAATAGTAAAGCCCATATTTTGAATAAGTTCATATTGCCACCATATACATTTGAAGACCAAAATTTTTGTTTGGACTATTTGCACTGATATTTTGTTTTGAAATTTATATATTTACATTAATTGAATTTTCATTGTAAATTTGTAAAACTAAAAATCTTTTGTTCATTTTTTTTATGAAAATCTATATGTACTTTTTAGAAGATTTCATTAAAAATGTGACTGACATTTCTCAATTAGACATTTTAAAATCTTAAAATGAATATTGACAAAACAACAAAAACAATGAAATTTCAGATTTTGGTCACAACCAACCTCAGACAAATAACTAAGAGGTTCAAACAAATCTCTTAGTTTGAATGAATTAAACTATTTTAAGTCTGTGGTATTTCTCAAAAGAATGTTGCACTTGTCAGATATTCAATTATTAAAAAGCTAGGTGCCTCTTCACCCTTTTCTATGATGTGCAAATCACAATCCTCTACATGTGCATCACATAACATTTCAGTTGGCAAAAGTGAATTATTGTTTTAGCCTATTTTCTGTGGGTAACCTAATTAGATAATAAATATTCATCATTCTTATGCAGTTGCAATTTGATTAACCTTAAGTATGATATGTCAAAACTGATCTTTTTGAAAACAATGATTAAATTCACATCACTAAGTGGCCCAATTTGACTTCTACTTATCAAGTTGTAATTATAACAAGTTCTTCTAAACAGCAACGTCTCAACAAACATTATAAATATAGGAATATTTTCTGGCATAGCTATTTTGTCTATTGTGAATGAATGTATACATATATCTTCAAAATATCTAATATCTAGTGCATGTTGTTGTTTTTCTTTTTAACTAAATTAACAAAAACATAAAAATAAATTTATCATGCATTCTTTAACAGAAAAGCTGCCTTCTGGTCAATGTTTTTTTTTTTACTTGTATATAAGTGTAAAATTAAGAAAATGTCAACAAAAAAAATGACGAATTTATTTATTAAAGATTATGTGCTTTTTTTCTGCATTTGTTTTGAAACGGTTGAATGAGAGAAATTATCAGTCCTTTGTTAGAATCTGTTTAGTCACTGTCCCAATTTCCCTCCTCTTCTTCAGATCCATCTGTTTGAGTCCCAGCACTGCGTTGCACTTGTCTGTGAGAGGTCTGTGTTGCAGTGCTGGTTGTATGCAGCAGTCTTTGCGGAACACTTGGCATGTTGATTAAATTCCGACGAATATGTTGCACTCGATATAAGTTACGTCGCAAGGACTGTGCTTGATTCAGTGTATTCCATTCTTCATCACGTTCCGATGTGTTTTCCTTCTTCTGAGGTTTAAACCTTAAAAAGCCCAACAAATGAAGTTTGAAATAAGAATTCAAGTAGAGCAACTAATAAGCAATGGCAAACAGTTATTGTGATGAACTTGACAATATCAAGTATAAAAAGTGTCAGGAACATTAATGGCTATTTCTTGATTGAAAATTACTATTAGCAGACTTCACAATGAACAATCAGAATTGTTGCATAAAACATTATTCTAGATAAAATAACAGTTTAATTCCAAGTTATCTCAAATAAGGGTCAAGCAACTATGCAGCTGGTGTCTCTGGCTGAAAGCAAGTATGTTAGTTCTAAATTACAATTATAATTATTAAGAAAATTTTCAGCAAGAAACTTATTAGTGATATCCAATAATTAGCTACAACTCTACCTAACACTAGAAATCAATTTTTATTATTTCTTATTGATCACCAATCAGCGAAAATGTACCTGCAGAAATCAATCAGAAATTGATTTCACCTTTTACAAAAGAAAAATCAACAAAGCCTAAAATTTTTTAAACTATACCCAATTGTTGACTATGGAAGTGACCATCTTCCAGTCATATGAAAACTAAGGGTAAAACAACAAGAATTAAATCAATGCCTAAGCTATTATGACAAAATCCACAGCAATTCCATCTGTAAACAAACATATGCAACTGTAGTTTTAAAACAAATATAAAACTCTGTAACAGATAAGGGAATCAAAGTGGAACACTTGATGGAAAGCACTAGGGACAACAGCAAAAGAAGTCATCTCAAAGAAAAAAAAGAAATTGAAGATAAGTGAAATCCTTGACTTAATGGAAGGAAGAGAACAGATAATGTCCAGAATATGTGATGTTAAATAAAACCATCAGAAATAAATGCAAGTAAAAAATAAAAATCATTAAGAAGAAATGTGCAATGATTGTGAAAAACTGCCTAATATAAACATAGGAGGCATGCTTAAAAAGATAAAGGAAAGAGAATGAAAGAAAACATTTTCTTAATCAGCTTGCATAGTATAAAATCTAAAGAGGAAACAATTATAATAGAAAAGGTACTCCAGAGATGGAATAAATATATTAAAGAGCTCTTCCACAATAATAGAAGAGGAAAACCCTACAATACATAAAATCTCGGATGAACTCATAGTATGAATATCTAAGGTTTAGTCAGTACTGGCCAAGATGAAAAGGAACAGCAGATGATATTGTAATAGAGATGCTGATAGGCTTAGATGGTTTGGGGATAGATGAGGTTACCAAAATGATAAATAAAATATACAACAATGGTGAAATACAGGACAACCTCTATAAATCAATCTTTATCATGCTTCCAAAAAACAGGTGCAAATGAATGCAAATTCCATTAAACAAACAGTTTAATGAGCTACATAACTTAAAATAACTAATAAATAGTACTTGTAACAGAATTAAACCCAGAAATAGAGCAAGAACAGTGTGGCTTTTTTCATGACACTCAAACAAGAAATTTTAATTTTTATGATCAGACTGCTGTCAAAGCAAGCAATACAAATACAGAAAGATCTATACCTATTTTTCATAAATTACATAAAAGGCATTTGATGAGCTCTTTGAAATGAGGAAAGCTTGATTTACACAGAAAAGATATTCAAGTAATCCATAAACAGTTTGCATGCAGATAGAGGAAGAGGAGTATGACGAGGAGTAATAAGTAACCTACTTGTTGAGTCAGTATAAATGAATGGCAGAACAAGGATGACTAAAAAGGGTGTTAAAAAGAGTAAAAGTTACTTAGAGCAACAAAAAAAAAAAAACAGAAATTTGTGGAAATTCATGATTTCCACTTCCTGAAAAGACATGGCATATAAAAAAAGAATAGTCTTCATTTTCACACATATTATTTGCCTTATGAATATGAAGAAAATATTTGTTACCATGCTAAGATTTTATGGTAACTTTAACACATTGAAGGTGTATTGAAAGATGATTTAAAAAGGTACTTTTAAAAGGTGATTTAAAAATTGTACTAGATACCACAGTTCAGGAATTTCAGGGAGTGCTTTTTTGTTTTATGACATTTAAAATTGTCAAAGTAAACGCTTGCAGACATTCTTTGACAAAAGATCTTCATTATATTGTCAAATGTATTTTTCAGCAAATACTGGTCAAAGCAACCAAATCTTTTGAATATCAAAATTGTTTCTGAGTTTCTTTATTCATTAGTTTTTTTCTTAAGTATTTCTATGCTTTATTCATGAATATTTTTGTAAAAATCACTTTCTGATAATTGTAAATTAATAGTAATTTAAGACTAACATACTTGCCTCTAGTCAGAGATAAGCTGCATGGTTGCTAGACTTTTACTTGGAAAAGTCTTAGTTTAAATACAGTAAGATTATCTACATTCTTCAACCAAATTTGGTTAGCATCAAATAATTATCTGAGCAAGAAGTACAAGTATTGTGAAGTAAAAATGGAAAAAGGTTTGCTTTTGTTTTTTACTTTTAAAAAAAAAACAAAACCTGTAGAGAATGATAACAAGTGTCTTTAGAAAGATATACATATAATACTGATAATAGGCCAATACAGAATCTTATGTGAAATTGAAAGAGTTAATGTTGAAAAAATTATAAATACAAAATGAGATTACTTAATAATTTAAATTGAAAAAATTAATGTTAACTCTTAGCTAATTGAGAGTAAGACATTAATAGTACTATTGAAAGAGGAACATTTATGTCTGTTAATAAAATCTATCAAGTAGAAATAAACAATGAAACAAGTACACACAGATACAGACAAGAATGCAATGGAGTAAGAGAAAGTATATATCATATTACTGTAGAATGCAATCAATGAGTACTTAATGTATCAAGTTGAATAACTCACCCTGGCCAGCAGAGATGGAGATTGCCTCGATTAGTACCATACACCAGACCACCACCAACTTGAGGTAACCACTTAGCTGAGTTCACACTTACATGAGTCCTCATATCAGCATCCACATAATGAGTGATGTCATTAACATGCTTGAAAAGTAAAAGACAGGTTTATTTCTTTAATGGTTAAAGGAATTAGCAAACAATCCAACCATTCTATATTTTCACCATCTTAATCATGTTGCTTTATATTTAAAAGTAATTTGAATCTGTTAATTAGAAATAAATTATGCCTGCATTACCATAAAAGATAATTTTTTTTTTATAATAGGAGTAGGTTCTGAATGAGTAATGGTAGAAAGCATATGCTAAGATTATTTTGAAATATGCATACATATTCAAATACAAAAGTCAAATTCACTTAAGTTTTGATTTTAAGTCAAAATTCCTTTTGCTGTATTAAAAACTTTTTTTTGTAATATAGTATTTTCTCCAATTTTTTGTAACTGTCATATTTAATATGAACTTTTTAATGAAGTAAAAAGTCTATATATTAGAAATCAATTGAACAAAAGATACTAAATTTGAAAATATTAATTTTTAATATATTTTCAGTAGTTGAAAAGTGAAATAAAATGAATGCTTTTCTTCTGCATTTTAGCATATTCATTTTGTATAAATATACCAAAATAGAAAAAGTCAAAGATTATTTTTCTCAGAATATTTAGTAGTCATTTTTTCAAACTAAATTTATTATAAAAAGATATTATATAAAAAAGTCTGAATTTTTTAAATTGACTTAAAATGTAACAAACAGCAACTTTTTTTCTGTTAAGTCCAATAAACTACCAAAATATCACATTAAAAATCTTTAGCAACATTAAATATAATATCAACTACTTAAAATGACTGTGTAGCAAACAGTACATGAATAGAAAATGAAAATGAATAGAAAATTACCTTCATGGACTGTTCACCTGCAAATTCTTGGCTTAACTCATAAACCTGAGCAACCATCTGAAATGCAACAATAAATATTGATGAAACAACCCGAACATACAAACCCTGATGGAATTAAGCAGAGACTTTCTAAAGTAGTAACCACCAACTGTTCAGATGTTGTATAGTATAGAAATATAAATTTAAATGTTATATTTAATACAAGATTTTTTTTTTAGATAAGCTAATGAATGGATGTACAAAAATCAGCAAGCCAAGTTCAAATCCTGGCATAATTTGTTACATTCATATTTGCACTAATTTCCTTTAGAAAAGTATGAATCTATCTCTGCTGTGGGTTAAATAGCAGGGTAGACAGAAGCCCTTTAGCTTTGGGTGGCAACCAGTCTAAAAGAAGGAAAACTCTGAATTCTAAACTGTGTATAAAGCAACAAAAAACTGCTCCACTATTTTTCTCAAGAAGGTAAGGTAATTCACAGAAAAGGATCTGTGAAGAGCCATGATCATCCATGTCATAAAAGGACAATGCATTAAAAAAAAAAGTTAATCCTTAAGTTTATATGCCACAAACACACCTCTAGGAATAATGTGGTTAAAAATAGTCACAATTAGCTGGTGAAATTGTATAAAAACAAAAATTAGAAAACCAAATATACTTTAAATAAATAAATAACAAAATGAACAATACATACTAGTAACAAAAATCTAATTCTGAATGTGGCAGTAAATACAATTTTCTAGATCATCAAACTTTTTTTAGACCATGTAATACCAATTATAATACATTCTTGTTATGACATTTATCTTTTTAATGACATTTTTTTATAAGAATCTTCTTTAAAAATGGGAAAAAAATCAAGAGAATTGTGAGATTTATATTCAGAAGCAATAGATATTCAATCCAAAATGGTCTGGGTCCTATCTTTTTCAAAATGAACAAACAAATTATAAAATTTAATTTTTTTTCTTGTCTGTATGTTTGACATACTGTTACAGTGAATCAAATCACAGAAAACAAAAATATAACAAATTAAAATAGAAAACTAAATTCATATACATATGTACAACTGGCTAGTTACAACAGAAAAATTATTAAAAGTGATTGCATTTACTACTTTTGCAATTTATAGAAATACCAAAAATAACTATAGTAAATTTTCTGAACAAATGAAAATCAACGATTTGAAAAAAAAAAATTGTTCTAACCTGATTGGTCGTAAATACCCAGGAAATACGTTTGGCTGCCAGACCAACCAAGACATAATGATTCTTTGGAGAAATGCTCACAGATATTGCATTAGGACCTGAAATACAAATTAGAAAAAGTTTAAATAGTATGACATATTACGGTCATAGAGAATAATAATGTTTTAATATCTGATTTTTGTTTATGTCCAATTAGAAGATTGCTGTAAATTTTGATAAACTACTAAATGAAGCACTTTAGTTTTGATCATTCCTGAGATGATTATAGGTGTTATAGTTTAAATGTTGAACATCTTTCAAAGAAACTTTCAGTGTGTATATAATGGTTACTTATTCTTATTATGTTATATATTGTGGTCAAGCAGGAGTTTCATTGACTTTGCTAATATTTTATTTCTACCTACAATTTTAACTGATAATATACGAAAATAACAGCTTATTTGTCAATATTCCCAGGACAGTACTTTTGAAGAAAACTAAAAAACATAGTTCAATAAAGCTATCAATAGAATTTGTGTTAAACTTTCATTCAAATTAAATGAAAATGTAAATTTAATTACAATGTCAGTAAGCCCTTCTTTTAAAATAGTAATCTTTATTGTATTAAAAATAATTGGAATACAATTGAAAGTATTTTATAACAGAGTTAAGTTTTCAATTGTTCTATTTAGTGGATATTCTGTATCAGAAAATAAACCATTTTTCAATTCTTTTTGAATAGTCTAACTCTTAAGCTATTCTGTTAAGCAAGAAAAAATTTAAAAATACTCACCAAATCCCTTTGTATAGAGACACTGACCAAGTGTATCTTCTTGAAGAGAATAAATGGCTAAGACTGTGTCATCAGGAAATCCGCGATGTGTAGGAACAAATGTGGCTAATAGACAACCATCTTGAGAAATATCACAGCTGGCATCATTGTGCAGTTTACAATGAGAAACAATCACATTATCGCTTACTGGAAAAAAGGAAAAAAGTAACATGATAGAGAAATACAGACATCAGCCAATATTCATGCATTTAGTATGTTTTGGTCATGTACAAAACATGCCTAATTAAAAAAAGAAAGATAAACAAAGCCTTAAATTACAAAAAAAAAATCATTATACTGTTTATTTTAGCCATTAAAATTTATTTTTTATTTACCATATGACTATTTTTACCAAAAGAGCATATTGATATTTCAAAGTACAATAATATCCTGAGAAAATAAAGAAAACAAAAAGACAAATTAACTAGTGTTTATAATTAATCTTATTCAAGATGGGTGGGTAATGCAATGATTATTGGTACAAAGAAGACACAGTTTAAAGTGAAAGCTGTGGAGAGTCATGATCATCTATGTTCTGAAGGAACATGACAATTAAGGAAGAAAATTATGTAGTCTTATGAAAATTAGATAAATATGAGTCTTTGACCAAATAATTTTGTTTTGTTCTTATAACTGATTCATTATTCCTTACTCAAATTTACTTTTAGACCCAGATGTCTTAAGGTAATAGTGCTTGCAGTAATGAATTGATAGTCATAATGCTTTCAATTGAATTAGCCTAAATAAACAAGTATTGTACATGCAAGAAAAAAAAAAAAGGATTTAAAGCTCAAAGAAAAATTCACCTTGTTTTGGTAGTTAACCTTACCAGTGTAAAATAATTTTCTATCAATGTGATATGAGTGCAACAATACAAATATTACATTCTATAGTGACAAATTTCTCCTTGCAAATAAAAGAACAGGAAACAATTTATTGTAAATAATTTCTTTTCATCATCTACAAATAGAAACTTGAAAGAAAAATATACTTTTCACATCTCTTTACAAGAGTTATACATATGAAATGTATATATAATTCATAGCATGTAATGAGCTAAGAAAAGAAATCAGCCTATGTGAAAAATTCTAAGTAAAATTTGTAATCTACTATAGTAAATGAAGAGAAAACCTAAAAATCAAAATAATAACAAAAGCTTACTGTCAGTGAGGTCTGGTAGTTCAAGCTTTCTAAAATCCCAACGTTGAATTCGGTGAGTTAGGTTGATTATATTTGTTGCCACAGCAATTTCTCCTCGTCCCAAGAATGCACCTGTAAAAAATTTATCAATAATTATTAATAATGATAAAACAATAAATAACAACTTTCATTAATTTTTTCTAAAATAATGTATCATAATCAAAAATGTGCTGTACTTACCAGCAATGGCACGATTGATTGCTGCTTGAAGAGTATCATTGGGTCGAGGTAGAGCATCCTCTGAACTACTGGTTGTGTTGACATAATGTTGATGGATCTGTCGTTGTCGGAGACGCTGCAGAATACGTTCTTGTAATCGTAGCAATCTAAAACAATATATAAATATTCATTTTTTTTTTTTACATATAGATGGCTATCTGAATCAAAAGTTCTTTAAATATTAACGATATCACAATAATCCTACTTCTTAAAAAAGAAAAAACAAAAAGGAAAGAGAAAAGCAAAGACTGATACCCTGCAGAATAAAAAGCCTTGTCACTAAGATAGTTACACATTTTCTAATACTGCTAGATTTGGTGTTTGAGTGCAGGTAAAACCAAAACATTGAATGCTGTTTTTTCCCTTATTTATCCTTGTATTGTACTAAGCTAAGTTTGGTAAATATGAAGACTCCATAATAATCACATAATAAGCACTGTCAAAAATGATTAATATTAATGAACACGATCATTTTATAACAAGCAAAATTGTTCTTCAACTGATTTTCAGTAACATACAAATTAGATAAGGAAATCTATCTTTGATTTCAATACTGACAGTAAATCTTAATGGTAGAAATTTCATTTGAATTGCATTATGTCAGCTGCTGGGAAGTAGTAGTAGTAGGAGGAGATTGTGGTTATGTATCTTTGGGAATTATCCCCAAGATTCTCACAGATTTGTGTAAAAAAAAATTCCAGAACTATGTTAAAATGTTTTAAGGAATGAAACTGGTACACACACAAAGTGAATGGTCATCAATTTCAAAAACACAAACTTTGCAATTTATCTTTAAATAGTTTGACAGATGAGATGTTCAAAGAAAAGCTGGTTCCAATAATTCATGTCATGAATCAGTTGAAAGCAGTGAAGAAATCCAAGTGTTGAAGGAGCAACCTCTACTATTCATGGCTTTTGTTGTACATGATACAGAACATAATGTTAACACTTTTTCAGTTCATCTAGTTTAGCATTCAGCTCCTCTTCCATTTTTGAGATCTCTATGGATTTGTCCTTTGCAGATCTTCACAGGGCATTGAAATTTGCAATAAGTGTGAAGTTCTGAGTCTGCTCAGAATTCCTCGTATAGCTGTCAACTGACTTTTTGTACTTACTGATGACGTCATCACAATTAGATTTGCTGACTTGTTTTCTATCCATCATGTGGGAAAGACGTCTTTTTAGACACTATTTTAAGGCATTTTCTTTTTCACAAATGGATCCAGGGTTCAGCCATATAAGTGTCCTTACAAAAGTTTATCTAAAAGGAGACTTTACCAGAAGCTCTCAATGATGGTGATGAACATTGTTGCAATTCTGTATGCAAACAGATCTTTTGTTAACACATTTCTTTTTTTGGACAAATTTTGCATAGCCTATCTGCCAGAAATGAACAATCTTTGCAGCATCTTTATGCATGTTTAGGTTTGACAAAATTCTTAAATCCATTTAGTTTGGAAAATGTAATTATCTTTTTAGTATGCTCTTCCTTTACAAATCTTAACTGTTTCATGATCATGCTAAAAAGATCATCTACAAGGAAAGGAAGCAATGGTTTATCACTATCAGAAATAGTCAAATATCTCTTGAAACAGATACAAAAATCTGCAGTTTCATTGGAAATAAAATGTCATTTACATTTGACAGCACTGCAGAGAAGGACTTGGTCTGAGGATATTTTTGTTTTTTTTTTGTCAAGTAAGTTCACAAATTTAATGACATCTGGCCAAATGTCTAGGAGACCTTCACATGTCTGTACATTTTCTAGCCATTTATGGCAGAAATACAAAAGTAAAGGGACAGAGTTGCCAGATTGAACTTTTAACATAAAGCTAACCAATAAAAGCCAAATAAGTTTTAATATATTTCACCTTTTTTTTCATACTTACCAAAAAACTAGAGATACAGGTGATTATTAGCCTGCAAACTTTAAAAATAACATTCTTCTTTCTTTTTCAAAGATGCATTTCTATGCTATTCTAAGACACATTTTCTATTCTATCATCCTTCCCATTTATATTTTCTTTGAGTCAAATTTGATTCTCAAACTTGTTACTTTTGGCAACAATTTAGACAAATGTAGTTTTCAAATAGATATACATTGACATGGTGAGGAGAAGGCATAAAGTATCTATTTTTTCAGTATGTCCCATAATACTCTGCCTAGCTTTTGGAATGTGTCTTTGGCCATCTCAATACATCTTCAGATCTCAGAGTCAGATTTAGTGTTCTCTGTCAGAACACTTCTCAGATATTTAAATTTCCGCACTTGCTTGATTTTAGGGTCCCTGACCTGTAAATCGCATTTCAGGCTCATCTTTTTACTTGTAACAATGAATTCTGTCTTCTTGTAGTTTATGCTTAGTCCCTTCTTCTCACTCTCCTTCACTACCTTCTGTAGGAGGTTTTGTAATTTCCTTTCTGTCTGCTATCAGCATTATGCCATCTGCGTATCTTATGTTAAGATTGTGACTGCCAATGATGAATCCCAGTTAGATTTACAGTTAATCTCAGAATTGCCTTGTTGTATAGATTGAATAAGTCCAGTGAGAAGACACATCCTTGCCTTACGCCCCTTTCTATTTTTGTATATCTGCTGAACTCATTTTCTATCCATATGCAGGTCGTTTGCTGCCAGTATAAGTTCTTGATATGAGGTCATGAATTTATTCTAATCAAGCAAACAAGCCACCATTCAAAATAATTACCAAATATTACTGATAACTAAAATAGCATTTTTTTAAAGGACAATTTTAGCTTGTAAAAATGCCAGATTTTTGGGAGTTGGCATTTTGATTTCATGAATTGAGAAAAGGGGAGTGTGGGTAGCCCAAGTTAAAAAATTACAGTACTTTTCAAGGAGCTTTTGGGCTATTGTGGTTTTTCCAGGATTTTTCAAACCCTAGAAAAGGCCCTGTCAATTTTCCAGGACATTTTGAGGTTTCTAGGACTTATACAAACCTTACATACCCTTATGACCAAGTATATAATTCTAATACCTTATATTTCTGTATATGGGAATAAAATTGATAAAGCATTTGATAGTATTCTTTTAGGCCAACATTCTTTAATCTACAACAATTCTCAGAATCAAAAAATATTGATTTGTTATCATGTCAGAAGTTGGGGGAGGGTCTTCCTTATAATATTGATAGTGTCAAATCAATCCCTGATTTTGAAAAGTTATTGGCCTTTGGCAAAGTTACTTAGCTACATTTACAAATGTCAAATTTGAAAACATGCTAACATCATGGATATTTCCATATTTTTTGTTTAATTTTCTTCTTTTTTTTTTTTTAAACATTTTTAAAAACTTTTTGTATGGCATTTTTTCAGACATTTGAGGTTCATAATTATTTATCTTAAATTAATAATAAACTAATACATAATTTTATTAATTTATGTAAATTTTTGTTCTTAACTGAAAAATATATATTTATCTGTTTATTCATTATTTAAGAAATTTTTTGTAACCCCACCTCAAAAAAAAGGTTTTGTACACAAAATAACAAGGGCCAGTAGATAGTAAATGACATTACATTTAAATTTTTGAAGGTTAAAGTTAACAGGAAAGCATTAAGCTGGAAGAGAGTTCTATAAGTGGGAAGTGTGAGAAAAGAAACTGTTGGCATAGAACTTATGGTTACAGCTAGCCAACTCAACTGTTAATTGATGAGACCTTGTTGCCAGTCTAGTACTGAGTTTAAATTCGTAAAGTTTAGGTACCATAGCAAAGAGCTCATCCAAACAATTACCATGAAAATATTTATAGAAATGGCACAGTGAGGCAACTTTATGGCAGTGAGAAAGTGACCAAAACCAAGACGCTGATCAGGATCAATAATATTGCTTATTCATCTTTGGATTTTATCAAGGATCTCTAGATATATAGCAAGAGCACTGGACCATATGTGGCAGAAATATTCTAAGCATGGACAATTGGTAGACTTATAGATATGTAAGATAGAATCTGGAGAGAAATTGTATTTACAATACAAGTCAAATGGTTTGTATCCATTGCTCTTACTTGGTTTGTTTGCTGATTTCTCGCCGCAAAGAACGGGAAATTTCTTCACGTGCTTCATTGGACAAACGAGCCGACTCATCTGGAAGTGAAAAATTTTTTTTTCTGAATTAGTAATTAAATAAAATTTTAAGAGATCCAAAACTATCAGACATACACAGTACCAAATATTAATTATTTAACTAATATTCAGTAAAAGTAAGGTAATTTCATGCAAAGATAGAGAAGTATCAATTCTTGCTATGACAAGTTTGCAAATGTTTATGCATTGTTTAATATAATAAAAAGTACTGTAAATAGAAAACTGATTCAAATTTCACCATATTTAACTTTATTTTTAATGTGAACATTAATTTTTAGTTTTTGCCTATAGGTAATATTCCAATTTTAGAGAAGGAAAAATTAACTTTCATAAATCATCAATATCTGAATATTTAACAGGAAATGTTTTAAGTGGTTCAAACATCAAAAGAAAATTTAAGGAATAAAAGTAAAAATTTGTGAAATAGCATAAAAATAAATTAAAAGAAAATATTTATATATGTAAGTTAAATTTTCACAGTATTTTTTGTGATAGACAATAGATAATTAAATAGCAACACTGTAACTATCATAAATAATGTATGCATAATCTTTAAATACCTTACTTAATAATAATATTCTTCATGTGATAAAGACATTCACCATATTTGTTAATGTAAAATGCAAGAGCCTTTTTATATCAGACTCATAAACCCAAATAATTATACATGACTGTAATATTTTGACAATTTTGCTTGTATCAATGAAGTAAGCCCTCTACAGTGCGAACACTAAAATATCTTGTTTCAGAAATAGGAAACTTGTGTAGATTACTGCTTTTACTTAAATTATTTTCTCATTTTTACCATTTTTAAACAACCAAAGATATCAAAGTTTAGAGTTTATATATGGTTCTAAAAACATTCAGATGACACATCACACAACATGAAAACTGGCCATTTAACACCTTCAATGAAATAGTAAAATGGTGACTGCATGAGGTACCTAAAAAATATTCATGCTTTTTATAAAATATATATATATATATATATTACAAACACAAGTGCATTGTGTACAAATAAATTTACAGCAAAAGAAAAAAAAAATCACTGATCTCTCAAATAAAGATGACCTAATTAGAGAGTATGTCTATGTGAAGAAATCATTTAAAAAAAACATCAGCAATATGTAAAAAAGTAAAATTCATAAAAATATCAGTAAGAAGAATGGTTCTTTGTTTTCATATAGATTTGCTAGTAAAGAAATCCAAAAGCCATTTGAATAGGGTTTGATTCTAACTGTAACAGCTGGCATGGTATAGAGAGGCTAATTTTTTCCTTTTTTTTTTTTTTTAAAATCAAAATTGATCAATTCACAATCATTTTTCTATAAAAATATCTTTAGGTAAGCAAAATTTCTAGTTGATACAAATGTAAATAAAGAAAAAGCATTAATTCAAAATTGCTCAATTCATAAATTAAATTTTTTAAAATAATTCTTTGAGCAAGTAAGATCTCAAGGTTACACATATGTGAATAAAGAAAAACTTTACCTAATCTTTCATTGCCTCTGCCATTTACATCATCAGGATAAAAAGATGCAGCAGCAATCTGTTGAACGAGGCGCTCATGCCGCCGAAGCTGAGCAATTCCATCAAGAGTATTGCGTACACTGCACACAAATTCATCCACATTGTGATTTGCACTCCACCTTTCCAGCCCAACTACTTCACGTGAGGGAACATGCACACGGGCCAGACGTGCAGCACAACGTTGCTGCAAGGAGGCCATACGTCGATCAAGATCATCCAGTTCTTGATGCAGGCGAGCTGTAACTTCAGTTATATCACAAGTAGCAGATGCAACAGCACAAAGTGTATCAAAAGCTTCATTAGTGGCAGCACCAGGATTGTCATTAATGTTCGGAATGGAAAAACTAGGAGAATCAAATCCCCTAGCACTGTGGCTTTGTGGCCGACATGTACGAGAAATTCCAGGGACATCTGGCAATGATCCACTTGATCTTCTGTTACTAACCATAGATGAAGGCTCAAAAACTGGGATATCATAAGTATGAGATGGCGGACGCATAGCACTAGTAGGATGAAAGTTGGTAGAATCGGCACTGGAGGAATCCAGTTCATCCCAATTTAATAGAGACAGAGAAGGATCTGACTGGTAGGCTGAACTTGGACCATAATCTGGGTTGTGTGCAGATTGACTTGCAGATGTACTACCAGATGGAGAAAGTTGGTGCATTGATGACTGATTGTTTTGGGTCATGGAATGTGTTATTTGGGAACTGGCACCTGCCTCAGAAACATCATCAGGACTCAAAGATGAATTCTTGTCACATCGAAGTTTATCTTTGGTCAAAAAGCTGGTTCCAGATTTGCAGTCTTGAGTGGAAGCAACACTTGGAGATGGGAGAGATTTGAGTAGTTTGATCCGAGAAGTCTTGCTAGTTGGTCGTCTGACTTGTGTTCTCTTTGATTGATCAGATTGATTGGAAACAGAGGATTTGAGGGGAGTGTGGTCACCAGAAAGTGAAAGACAACTGGTTTCGAGATCAGAGCAGTTTTCTGATTGACCATCATCCCTACATTGGGGTTGACTAGTTACGACATATGGACTATGAACAGATGAAGATGATGTCACACAGGCACTTGACTCAATAGGGCAAACTTTGTCAGTAACAGAATTCAAATTAAAATAACTACCAGCAGTTGTGTGAAGAGGTTTTGAAATAGACTGGTCATTTGGAAGAGAATCTTTTGAAGAAACATCTGTTTCCATTTTATTTTGTGAGGGTTTTGTACTACAACAGGTTTCTGTGGTAAAACTTGATGCTGTTGAAACAGAGGTACATGGCACAGAGAGCGAGGCTGGGGCTGTCAAGCCTTCTGTATTCATTGGAGAAGAATTTTGAGAAGTGGAGCAAAATACTGGTTCTTTTGCAAGACTGGCAGTTGTTTTGATTGGCTTACTAGAAAGAGGAAAAGATGAAAAAGAGTTTGAGGAAGTGGATGGAGGAGGGGGAGGAGCAGGGGGAGGCAGCAACGAAGCAGAATCTGCAGAGGAGTTGCTCGGTGATATTGGCTGATGACTCTCTGCAGAAGATGAGGAGGAGGAAGAAGCCCCATCAGCAGCTTCAACATTTATAGGTGTCAGTCTTGACATTTGTGACCAACAATTATTATCTGCATTTATAGAATCTGAAGAAGAGGTCGCTTCAGCTGAAAGGTCATTATTCCACTTCCTTGAAGTTTCAGCAGATGCATTGGTCATCTCACTTTTTTGCTGACATGATGTAAAAGTAGTAACAGCAACATCTAAATTACAAGTTCTCTTATTACAAGTTGATGCCACTTTACATGTCGACTTAACAGTTGAAAGCAATTCCTCATCAGTACTTGAGGTCAAAGAAGTTGTTGGGGTCTGCAGAGAGGTATAAGTGTTCTCAGTGCTTGTTGGGGAAGTGTTACTCATACTGAGTGCACGGCAAATTGAGTGGAATGCTGATTTGAGGGAGCCTGCTTGTCGCTGATATGGTTTAATTGAATTACTACTTGAGCTAGTAGCACTGGCACTCTCTCTGCTGTGGGGTGCCCTAGTCCCACCTCGTGATGTAGATGGTAAATTATTAGCCAAAGTGCCATTATATTGGTTAGAAGTTCCAGAAGAAGGAAGACCAATGAGATAAGAGTTTGTTTCAATAGAAGATGAGGAAGAAGATGAAGACAAAGACGGAAGGGAAGAGGAGGAGGAAGTAGATGGGTAGGAAGAAAATACATTGTGCAGTAAAGTGCTTCTCTGGGAGGGGTCAGAGCATCCTGCTGCAGCAGCAGAATCAGGCAAAGGAGGTGGTGGGGAGATGCAACTGTCTGTGTTTGGAGTGAATGTGGCTGGGATAGAAGATGAAGAAGATGAAGCAGCAGCACTGCTGGAAGGATTTTCACGATATGTTGAGTTAAGAGTTTCCAAAATTTGTAAATTCATCTTACATGCATCAAGTCGGTCTGAGAGATTTCGAGGGAGGCCATTGTTCATGCTAATTGACCGAAAAGGAGATACCGATGATGTACGTGCAGGACCATTTATAGAAGCAGAAGATGGCAAAGAAGCAGATTGTGATGCTGAAATGTCATTACTTTCAGCTTCCATATCAGTGCTAGTACTGTTGCCACTACCAGAAATTGATAAAGTGATGGAGTTAGTCATAGGACTCCTTGATGAAGATTCTGATCCTGCTGGTAAAGAAGGATTCTCAACAGAATTTCTTGTAGTAGTAGTAGATGAAGATGTCCCACTTTCATCAGGTGCCCGATTTGAGAGACTCGATTCACATCGTAAGAAGGGTCTAAGTGGGAGAATTCTTGGTATAAAAAGAGCCTGGCGACCAGATGATTGATTATTATTATTATTATTATTATCTGTACGAGGGAACTTAGACTGCTGATTATGCTCGTTAGAATCTGAATTATGTGGTCGTTTGGGGCGATTTCCTGAATTTCTCATGCAGGATGGGAAGTGTGGAATACTTGCCAAAGTAGCAAGATGTCGAGAATTCTGTGCAACAAAATGTCTTGCTGCAACAGAATTTTTCTCTTTTGGTTGATTAGTGGATGAGGGGTTTATTTCAGAATGACCACAAACATTCTGATCTCTCTGATCAGTTGTTGGAGTGAATACGCTATTGTATTCAGTCTTTTCAGAATGAGTGTTCTTTACTGACTGGTTACTATCAGATGTTACAGAATCAGAATACTGTTGACCTGAGGACACAGATGTTTCAGCTACAGGTTCAAGCCTGTTCATGCTCTCCTCAGATTTGTTTTCTGAAAATAATGACAAAGTACTGGTTAATGTAGGCGATACAGTATTTTGTGAAGATAGCCCATTACTAGTAGAGGATTTTGATAATTGAGAGCAAGATGGTTTGTTGTTATTAACAGGATGAGAGGTTTTCTCCAAGGGAGTTACCGATGTTGGGGTGCAACAGCAAGTCTTTGCAAAGGAATCAGAGAATGTAGAGACAGGATCTTTTTTTTCATAGGATCCATTCACAAGATTCCGACTCACAGATGAGGAACTGCATTTTGTACAAGTTGATGGAACTGATAAAATTGGCCAAGGGGAACTTGGTCTTTTACACTGCATAAAACTTATGTTCTCTTGAGGAGAATCAATGCTTTTTCTGTGATCAGCTGAAATACTGTTGCAATGTTCAGTAGAAAAATTGTTACAAGTATTACTTGTACTTGGTTTTGAGTCATTTGTGCTGCTAGAGGAATGACCCAACAATGAATTCTCAGAAGGATCTGTATTCTCTGGTACCAATGATTCGATGCTGCCATTTGTGGAAGATGAAGAAGGCAAAGTTGACTGAAGAAGTTTAAAAAGAGTAGTCTTAGATTGTCGCATTGTCATTGCATTTTTATTGTTGTTATCATTCCCATTGCTAGTACTAGTGCTACTGCTACTGCTTTTAGAAGCAGTGGTTTTGCTAGATTTTGATGTATTTCCTAAATTAAATTCTTGGTCAAGAAGATTGTAGTAATTGCGACTTTGAAATGCTGAAGCTGATGATAGCTTTTTGTGATCTGTACATGACATAGTTGAAGAACTAGCAGAAGCAGCAGAATATGTAGTGCCATTGGAAGTGGAAGTAGAAGAGGATGAAGAATGTACTGTGGGTAAAGGAGAGGATTCAGAGTCATTTTGGTCACTACTACCAGCTGCAGAAGATTTGTATACAACATCTCTACGAATATACTGAGATGGTTGCCAGGACAACAACCTAGAAGGACGGAAAAACTCAGATGGTACTGTTCTGTATATGTCATAGAGACTTGTGAATCTGACATCTGAATGGTTTCTATTCGAAGCAGATTCAGTTGGAACAGATCCACTGGTTGATGGCGTAGGAGTACCATTCTGGAAGGATTCCGAGGAGCGAGAAGGTCTTGAGTATCCAGCATCATCATTCAGAGTAAGTGATTCAACAGCCCCAACACTAAAGTCATTGTCAGACGCTGAAGTAGAATTAGTAGAAACTGCAGCTGTGGAACCAGAGAGAGAAGATGAAGATGATGACAATGATGAGGAGGATGTGGATGAAGCTGGAGCTGGTGTGTAGAAAGCTGACTGGGAAGAAGCTCCAAGAAACTCTTGTTGCCTCCTAGGTCGCTCCTGATAATGGCGCAAAGAGAACCGTGTGAATGGGATTTCAAGGGCACCACGAACTGCCTCAGAGATTTCTGCTGCATACTGACGGGCAGAGCGCAGATTGTCCTCATGCACAGGAGACTGTGGAGTGACCAAGTTTACATAAGGAACTAGTTCTTCATCAAGAGGAATTGTAGATGGTGCTGGTGGGTCTGACAAAAATAAAATAAAATTATCATTTATGATACAAATATTTTTAAACAATTCAAAATTCACATATACATAGACTAAAGCAGAGAGATCAATATGTAGATACAAAACTGAGCACGTTTTCATTTTATTATAAAGTATAATATTCGTTAAACAATTACTTAAATTTTTTAAATCTGTAAAGAGACCAATTACAACTGTGACATCATAAATGGTTATTTTTCAAAAGGGTTCCCACAGATGTGTGTACAAAAAATTCCAAAACTATGTTAAGAAGTTTTAAGAGCTGAAACTGACACACACACACAAAATGAGTGGACATCAATTTCAAAAACACAAACTTTGCAATTTATCTTTTAATAGTTTGACAGATGAGATGTTCAAAGAAAAGCTGGTTCCAATAATTCATGTCATGAATCAGTTGAAAGCAGTGAAGAAATCCAAGTGTTGAAGGCTAAAATACAACTGAATGCAGTCATGGTTATGATACACATTTTGTGTAGCATTCTACACAGTTTGGAGTTCTACTACACTTGAAAATTTTGAATTATACGCTTTAATTCTTACTGCTACACATTTCAGCTATCTAGACTATTCATGGTTTGTGAATGTCACAAAAATTCTTGACTGCTACACATTACCTGTGAAGTTAAGTATAATGGTTTTAATGAACAGAAATACAAATAGAAATTTTCACAAAATACTACACATTTTAGCAACTTCTACTATTCATGGCTTTTGTTGTACATGATACAGAACATAATGTTAACATTTTTTTTCAGTTCATCTAGTTTAGCATTCAGCTCCTCTTCCATTTTTGAGATCTCTATTGATTTGTCCTTTGCAGATTTTCACAGGGTATTGAAATTTGCAATAAGTGCGAAAAGTCTGCTCAGCATTCCTCGTATAGCTGTCAGCTGACTTGAGCAAATCTTATGTGCAACTTTCTAGCTTGTGTTTTTTGGTCTTCAGTTCTTCAATTTCCATAAGCATGGATTTCCATTTTTGTCCAGCTGCTTCTTCCTGTCTTTTTTTCTTCCCAGCCCCAAGGTATTGTTTGTATGTTGTTCTTGTATTCGAAGCACTGCAGAGAAGAGTCTTCATCATGAGAACATTCCCAGCACCTCCAACTGTGGCCAAATAGTCCATGATAATGCACTGTATGACCAGAGTCTGCTGTTTCATATTGCCAGTGAAAATTTCCTTATTGACTGAGAAACCTCTCTCCACTGACGCCTGTTTATGTGAGTATACCAGAAATCTGCAAACAACTTTCCAGTTTTTGATATTCTTTGTTGCTAGACAAAAAAAGAGTAGAACAAAGTGACCAGATGGTCTTCATGCTTGCTGAAATTCTTGAAAGCAATATTTCCAGCAGCCTCCTCCTCGAACTCTTTGTACTGACTGATAATGTCATCACACTCAGACTTGTTCACTTGTTTTCAGGAATGGTTCAATGTCTTTCAAAAAAGACACAAAAATCTGCAGTTTCACTGGAAATAAAATGTCATTTATGTTTGACAGCACTGCAGAGAAAGACTCGGCCTGAGGACATTTTTCTGTTTTTTTAATGAGGTTCACAAATTTGATGACATCTGGCCAAATGTCTAGGAGTTGTTCACATGTTTGTACATTTTCTAACCATCTATGGCAGAAATACAAAAGTAAAGGGACAGGGTTGCCAGATTCTTTAGAAAATTCTAGAACTTTTCAAGGAGCTTTTGGGTTATTGCTGTTTTTTCAGGACTTTTCAAACCCTGGAAAAGGCCTTGTCAATTTTCCAGGACTTTTCAGGACCTGTACGAACACTGTTTTAATCACTTCCAAAGAATACATTATGAGCTTATGACCATATTACATTAAAACCCCATTAAGTTCCCGTACAATCACCAAAGTTAAGTAACATCAAGTCTGGTGAGAATCTAAATGAATGACCACTTGGGAATACCAGGTGCTGTAAGCTTGGATATACCAGTGGTGTAATTATATTCACTTACATGCAAATACCCATGAGAAAGGTATGAATCCACCTCTTCTCCCCTAGCAATGGGGTAATTAGTGAGACTGATCTCTCTTAATCCTTATCTCAAAAATATATTCTTACAATCTAAAAATATTTTCTGGCTTTAAATAACCTGCAAAGGTTTGATTGATTAGTTTTCTATAACTAATCAATCAAAACATTATAATACAAATAGTTATTTATAACAAAATATACTAATCTGTTGCAAATCAATTTGGGGCAAATATTAGTTTTTTTCAATCATGAACATTTCTGGCAATAAAGATCGTTATTATTCATGTTAAGTTTGATTTTTTGGTTCCAATTTTGCATGATTATAAGTTCAGAACACACATCTATATATAAGAAAAAGAGACTTAAGATTCAAGTAAGGGATCCATCTTCAAAAGCTCTTTGGAAACTCATTTAAGAGGAGGAAAGTAAAATGTTAAATGACACAAAAATTACATTACTAAGTTTTAAAATAATAATAATTGTCAGAATAAATATCAAAAGGACAATCTGAAGATTAGCTCTTTCTTTGGAAAAATTCTTAAAATTACTCTTAAAAAAATACTAGCCTGATCAACTATCATTTATAATTAACAATTGTTCAAAAATACTTATATGTACACTTCAAATTATAAGAAATAAACACAATAAACAATCTCCTTACAACAATTTACAATGCTACCAACAGCCAACAAAAATATTTATAACATTTCAATTATGAACTACTAAATAGGATGTAAATAAAAAAGTTAGTGGAGAAGCTTTTATAAATATAAACACCACCTTCTCAATATATACTAACAGATGTCAAATCAATCTATCATAAATATTAACTTCCTTAAATAATTACCATAATCACTTAACCACCTCTAATGGTTACAACATACACAGTAGTTCCCAAAATTAAATTAGGATCCTATTTATTCCCATCTTGTTTTCTAGGGTAATAAATGAATTGAAGTAATTGAAAGTTTTTAAAAAATATTTCATTTACCAATAGAAACACTGAGCTCAGGCTGGGTTCTTTCATAGCTGTGATATTGTCGCAAGACTTCTTGATAGCGCTCTTGGATATGACGACGTCTGTTTCTGAAATCTGTGCGTAGCCTGGAAAAAAAAATTATTTCATGCAAAAACAAAAGTATATTTAATAAGTCATCAAACATAGTCATATCCCTCATATGTTTTAGCAGTAAACATTTGAAAACAATGTTTTATGAAACTTTATGAAATATGAGTAATAACTAATTTTTCTCTAGTATAAACAAATGCCTGACCCACAATTTGTAAATTCAGTTTCAAGACAAGACTGATACACTGGCAGCTGCCACAAGTAGCATTAAACAATTTTAAACAAATATTTTTTTTTTATTTAAATGTCAATTTTAACAATGTTTAAAAAACATTAACACTAAATAAAAGATTAAGTTTCAGGAATAGAAATGCCATGATTCTTTCTATTTTCTGATACTTTTTTTCATCATTAGTTTTATAAAATTATGGTAATTAGATAGCATGGTTTCAACATGAAAATAGAAAATGTGACACTATGGCTAGTGTGGAAATATAGCAACTGGCAATAAAAATTTGGCCTAAGGAGGGAAAGATATTTTGCTTTAGAAAAAAAAAAAGATTTTAAGATTTTAAAATGTTATATAATTTTTTTAGGACAGTATAAGATGAGAATATTAACCAAGTGCAGATGTAAGGTGATTTGGTGGTTGAAAAGATCAGGATTTGATAATCAGGTGTTACCAGAAGCATCCTGGTTCAAAGTTTAAAGAGATGTTTTGACAACCTTTTGATAACAAGGAATTCTGAAAGATCATAAGCCAAATTGGAATATGTAATTTGATGAAAACTGCCATTCATCCCATCACTTAATTATTTTTTTTTTTTCTTATGTTAAATATTCTACCAGTAATTCACTAGGTAGTATTTGGTTGGCCAGCAGGAAAACATTATGTAATCATTGACCAATCAAAAAAGGCCAAATAAGGCTCTCTTTTCTATGAAATCAATGAGTCAGTGTTGAAATTGTAAAACTCACTGCTCGTGGGGGTTGCACACATGTTGCTACCAGGATGGGAAGAGTAGAGTGGTGATATCTGTGCCAATCACAATCAGCAAAAGTCCTGAAACTATTCTTCCCTGATGAGATTCAATATGATCATCAATCTTATCCTCCCAATCACTCAATTCTATTTGGTATATTTTTCTTTTCTTTTTTAATGTTATTTGTATATGCATGTGTGTGTGAATTATAATTACATTTCAATACACCCTTTACATTTGTAATCAAGTACGTCTCCAGTTTATATCAATATACAAAGTTGATTATGAAGTCAGAAACACTATTAAATTCTGTAGAATATCTTTACAAGCAAAATAAGACTGGCAACTTATAAGCTCTAAAGTATAAAGGTTTGTCTATTTCTTTCTAGTATCAGAAATTTGAAGATACATATTATTATAATTATCACCTAATATACATATTCATCCGTGCGTTTTTTTTGTTACAAATAGTCTAATTGTAAGTATTTATAATATATTCATCATTAAAAATTCTTTATCTAAATATAAATAAAAATCTATTGCAAGAAAAATAAAACAGATTATAAAGACAAAAAAATCATTTTCAACAATATTACCACTTTATAAATTCAATGAAAAGAATATAAATTTTTATATAGTAAATTTATAGCAAAATTTAAAATTACCCTCTTTATTTTGAAATTCTTCTTTGCAAAAAAAACAAAAAGTCTAAACAAAGTTACAATAAATATAACATCTAGCTATATAAAAGTCATTTCATGCCCAGTAAAAAATGTTCTGAAGTAGTTAATTTATTAATAGGGAACAATATAATAATAATTTTAAAATTTAATAATCAAATGAAAATTTGTGTCACCACTTTTTAACTCATATATGGCATTATAACAAATAAAAATGTTTATATGATAAAGATACCCCAAATTAATTGACAAATCATGTTTATAATACAAAACTAAAGCATGTCAAATATATGGTATACGTCAGTGTCATCCTAAAAAAATTATTATCGAATTGTGGGATCCACAAGATTTTGATATTATGAAAATCTTTCTGTTTGAATTTATGGGATGAGAAGTTATTATTTACATTCAGACTATTGTCCTCATCTTTGTTGTCATTATCACAATGTTTCAGCTGTTGTGCCCTCTGATTTTCATCAGAGTGTATGTCAATAAGGGTAACCTATAGGGAATTCTGAAATGAAGCCATTATTTTAGGCGGGGGGGGATAGACTGTTGTCATTCCACTGCCCGTGTCTAAGGATATCTCATCTAGTTCTTATTTTCATTACTGATCAGTTATTACTCACCCTGTCTCCACTGAGTCTAAGTACACACTGCCCAGCCCAGGGACTGAACTCTTACTATGTCACCAAATTCATAAACCAACACTTTAATCCACCAGGCTATTGTCCTGTATGAAAACCATTATGTACTTTAGTAAAAAAAACTGATATATTGTGATATTTGCTAAGTGTATATTGATATAGTAGGTGTTTCAATAATCTGTGATATCACAGACAGAGTATTAATGATCACATATATATAACAAATTCTGGTGGTAAAGTAAAAAAAATAAAACAATAAGGGTTTATTTTTGTACTGATTACATTTATACCTGCTACATGAAGACATGATTTAACTTTCCTTATTTTTGTCATTAACTTTACCAATTACTCTAAGTCGCGTTTTGAAGTAACCATTTAAATATTGCTGATAGTAAAAGAAAATAATTGATGATTAAACATTTAGTTTTCCATTTCCTTTTTTATCTAACATTTGTTTTAGCAAATTTCAGCATTTGTAGTGAATTGAAAAAAAAAAACAAAACCAGATATCCAGTTATCTTTTTAGTCATTTGGTAGTCATCATGTATTTGTGATTATTCAAATGTAAATATCATTCTAAAATTTGCTATAAAGTATGTCATATGACATGAATATGAAATGAATAATGATATGCAAGAAGTCAATAGTTATAATCCTCAATAAATACCAAGTGTTACATGTGTGCTTTTAGAATATTATGATATATATTCAAAATATAATCAGTTACAAAAACACATCATTGATTTCTTCAGCATGAAAATAAGACTATAGTGTTTCTGTTCAGCTTTAATGGCTGAACAAAAGAGTATCTTATAGGATATAAAAACTAAGTTAATAATTAACAAATGTAAATAGTAGCTTTACCGTCTGTCTATCTGTCTGTCTGTCTGCGAACTGCTGGATCTATTGATACTTTAATAAGAAGAAAAAAATTATGATGATGTGGAGATAAACAATAACAACAAAAAACAAAACAATGCAAGACAATTCATAAAATCAAAGTATCCATGCTTTAATATGAGAATTACAATTTTTAAACTTGCTAGTTATTTATGACCTGAGTTAAAGTGAATCTGAACACTTTGAAACTGTTGCTTCAGATCAATACTATGAAAAAAAAAAAAGATTTTATGTTTTGGTTCATTTCTAACTGAATAGGAACTATACGTTTATTAAATATACCAACTTAAGTGCACGCCTCAAATGATAACATGATGTACTAAATATCTTTTATAATTTAACACAGGTTTTCCTAGATCCTAATATATATATATATATTACATATTTAAATTTAAATCTTGGATTCCCATTATTTTCACTCTTCTGCTACAATTTTTTTTACTTCCTGGGAGTAGTGAGAATGGACACCAGTTAGTTCTGTTACATCACTTCTTTCTGTCAAAGTATCTGAAAAATAGTCTTTGCTTCTATTAGCAGCTGTTCTGATGTTAGGATAAAAGTGCTTATTGAAATCTTCTTTTATAATTACTCACCTTCACAATAGATGGAAAGGTGATTATTTTGAAATGATCTATAACTTATAGCAATTCACCTCTGTGAGGTGCAGGATGGAAATACAGAAAATTGGCAAATGTTTGTTGTAAAGTCATCTGCTTGGTAAGTCATACCAGATGACAAGAAAAGGTCATAGAAAGACTGCCACAAGTTATTTGTCCTACTGGCAAGTTGCTTGGCCTCAAACTGGTTACCCAGTCTTTATAATAATGTTTATTAATAGTTTTTACATCTGAATTGTAACACAGCGTGTTGCCAATGTGATCTCTCTTAAAGCTGTTCAAACTTAATTTTTAGTTAACTTTATTTTCAGTTTCAACAAAAATAATTTACAACAATGTAACCAAAACTGTTTTTTTCATTTTTAGTGTTATAGCATTTAAATAAGGATTGCTTTTTAGGATTTACATTTTTCTATTGAAAGAGTATGAGAACAGTATTAAATTCAAATTATTGCCAAAAATGCATAATCTTTCCATTAAATAATTTATAAACTGCTGTTTCATATGAAGCACACACTTTACAATTAAAACTGAAAGGCAATAAAATATTACAAAAGCCTGTATTACATAAAAAAACAAGATATAAAATTTTCTAACAAAAAAAAATGCAAATTTACGAAACAACTGAAAATTACTAATATGTCAAATGATCATATAGCTGTATTGAAAAGTTAATACAGACAGAAAATAAAATACAAGGAATGCTATGTTCTATAACCTGTTTAACAATATTTTTAAAATGGTGCATTTAATCTTTACTTCTGTGCCAATCGTTATAAGTCAATGCAAAGTCGGCTAAACAGTTAACAGGGCAAAAAAACTTTTAAAAAAAATAGAATCTGTGAACAAAGTTCAAATTCCAGCTAAGATATTTTGTATTTATTTCATACTAATACTATGGAACACACCACTATTCTGTTCTTGGTACCATGTAATCCAGTAAATGTTATAAGAAAAAGATGGACACCACCAAGTAACTCAATTGCCTTGAGAAATGCTCAGTATGGTATCCCAATGATCTACTTGAAAAATATAAACATGTATTTTTATGTAAAGAATTATTAAAATGAAAGAATAATGATGCTTCTATTGGTAATTTTATATCTTCATCAGGAGCAACAAACATCTCATTAAATTTACCAATAACAAAATATTTATTGGCAATTGAACCTGATAATAGCGTGATCATTAAAAAAAAAAAAAAAAAAAAAAAGAAGGAACAAGTACAAGAAATCCAATGTTTAATCTGATGAGGGCAATTTTACAAGTACAGAAACTCTAGAATTGATACTAATTTATATATAATCTAATCAACATGTATCATTTTGAATATTGAAAAAAAAAAATACAGAGATTAAAAATATATCTACAATCAAGAAAATCTATCTGGTAGATAAAGCATAAACAGTGACTAAGAGATTAATATCACCAAAAGATAAATTAGTAAAAATCAATGTTAATCAGTAAATGAATCAAGAAAATACACTTTCAGGTCTGTCATTGTCATTTAGAGAAAAAGCAGCAGTTTATTTGGTTTAATAAATCAAGATTAATTTACTTACCCAGAGGTAGTACGATTGCCAATATGAATTCTAGGCTGAATAGTAGTAGCATTTGCAATACCAGTGTACAAATAATGGCCAAGGGGATCAAAACGCAACCATCTAAAGATAAGGAGATGAAAAAAAATATGTTAATCACATAATAATTTTCATTGAAAATTTAAGCTCTTCATTTTTTGTCAAAATTTGGAAGGGAGCTTTCAGTATGATAAGATACTTGAATGCTTATTTTAAAAATCCTTTCAAAGATTTGAATGTTTACAAATGAAAAATAAAATGCAAAATATTCTAAACATGGCAATGAATAAAATATAATAAAACACATCAAAGATTTTTATTACATCCTTAACTTGCTGTTCTCTGATTACTTTTTGATATTAGGTTTTGCATTGTGAAAATTAGAGAATTAAGTTATTTTTCTGTTTGCCTCATAGATATCTGGTTAATAAACCATCAGATGCTTCTGACTCATTTTTTAGGATTTGCTTAAAGTTAAATCCAATTATGATTTTTAGCAGTTACAGTGGTTGAGTAGGTCATTGAGCATGACAACAGAATATTTCTTTGATTAAAGAGTTCAAGCACTTAAGTGAGCAGTGGTGTCTTTTATTTCATGGTCAATAGACATTGTTAATGTGAATTATCTTCAGTTTCTGAATGCTTCAGTTTGAGTATCAAAATATGAATTAGGCTACTTTCAATCCAAAATTGAGGTTGTTCTTTATACTAAATTGATAATCTAATTAACTACCACCAACAGTAGTTATAACTACAGCTCAATGGCTTTGCATTTGAATGCAAGAAGAGAACCAAGATGGTGCAACACCTCCTGACTAGATTTCATTCAAATCAAAACAACCAAATACATTAAAACTGTAAAACATTTTAAAATCAATTTTTGAATATTCTCTTAATTACAGACAAAAATCAAGGATCATTTTTAAAAGAAAAATTTTCTTAACATCATTTTAAGTCATACTGTTAATCATTTAACACAGAATAATGATGTAAATGGTAGAAAGACTAACCTAACTCTTTCAAAGTTGCGTGCAGTTTTACAGCAGGCAAAAGGTCGACTTTTACTCCAATCCCAGAAATAAATCTCATCAGCTGTGGCAAATACTAAAACATGGTCAGTGGGATGAAATGCTAATGTGGCAATAACAGAACCATGAGGAGCTGTCCACACTTCACTACCACGTCCCTGAAATGCAAACATATATCTAGTTTGACATACTAATAAATAGAAAGAAAATGTTGAAATATTTTATATTAAAAAAATGGAAGAAAAAAAAATTGTAAATTTTATGAACAAAAAATATATTTCTAAATGTATTTTTTAAACTATGTCGTGAAATTAAATTTTTGTATCAATATGGTAGTGAAACCTTCATTATGTTTTTTGAGAACCTAAATCCAAATGTCATAGCTTTCAGTGAAATGTTTACCATAATGTACAATTGCAAGTATTAAAAATCAAAGAAATAAAAAGCTTGATTATTACAAGTAACACTTTTTGTCCAGGTGATAATCAGTATAAGAGAAGGTTTTAAGTTGAATTCAGCTCCTGATAAAAGATTCACTGGTCATTAGGTCAAACATCATTTCTTTGTGCATGTAAATAAATTTGTTCTTTCCTAACTCTAACAATTCTGAGAAGACATGCACTGCTTGCAATCTGAAAGTAAAACTGTGAGACATTTTTTGTTTTTGAGACAATTTACATGTGTTCATATAGAATCGACAACAAAAAATTATTAATATTGTAAACAGTGTTAAAATATCTCCATAATATTAAGTAAACAAAAAAAAAATTTAAAAGATGTGTACTGACATGTAAATCCCAAATACGGACTTCACCGCCAAGACATCCTGATGCAAGAATGTCATTTGATGACTGATGAAATGCCAGACACCAGGGTGTTCTTGGATGACCCCTCAAAATATGAGTGCACTTTCGTGTGGATAAGTCTGTAATACGAACAGTGTGGTCCCCATGTGAAGATGCCATTCTTGATCTGCAAATTAATATTAAATAATAGAGAAAAATATTAAAAAAAGTAAATAATGATAAAGAAGTATATACTATGTGATAATTTAAGTATATACCCCACAAACAAAAAAGTGATTAATGAATTAAAAAAAATATTAATTAAATCCAAAGAACATTTTTGTGCAATTAGTTTATTTTGTTTTAGTGGATATGCATGTAACCTAGCATTTACTGGTACAGAAATATGAATTGGTGTGCCAAGTTCAAATTCTGACAGTTTGTTGCATTTACTTTTGCAAAAATACCTTTGGAAAAGGTATGGATCCATCACTTTCCCTTCCAGCTATGGGTTAAATAGCAGGGTAGGCTAAGTGTTCTAACCTTTGTTAGCAACCAGTTTAGAAGAATGATAACTCTGAATTCAAAACCAGTTAGGTGCGAAGCTAGCAACTCCACTCTATAAAATTCCACTTGCTAGAGAAGTCCCAACAGCAATTCTAAAGATAAGTAATTTACTTTTCAAGTAATATTTATATTTTTGAAAATTTCAAAACTAATCAGTAAGTGAAAAGTACCAGTCATAACATAACATAAAAAAAATTACAGGTCTAATAAAATGTCTAAAGGTTTAGTTTACTATTAACTTAAGCCTTAGTCATTAACATTTGTAACATTGAATTGTTTTAAATAAAATAAGGATGCTATAAAAAAGACTTTTTTTCACAATAGCATTCTAATACTATTTCTCAGTTTTGATTCATGGTAAAAGACTGATTCATTATTGCATAACCAAAAGCAAAGAAGTTATGAAGTACTTACCCATCAGGACTGAAGTCCATAAGGAAAGTAGCCCTACAGTGACCAGATAATTCACATGGCTGCAAATGAAAAAAATAAGAATAAAAACTAGTAAAAATAAATATCAAAGAAAAGGTATCAATAATGAATCACTACAAATAAAAATTATAACCTTAATCAATTAACAAAGGAGTAGAAACAATTATTTCAATAATTTTGAAGTTAACAAGACATTAGGTTTGTTAATAGCTGCTGTGAAATATAAAATGACTAGCAGCATGGCCCTGCGTTGCCCGTGCTCGATTCAAAAATTGTACGACACATACAGCAATCACTATAACTTGACTTAAAATATTTTTGCCCTTCCTTGCCTTTAAAGGAGTGCCCTTTGCTGTGCTGATGTTGCTACATGCCTTACTTTTTGCCTATCTCACACTGCAAATTTTTTCTAAACTCTATACTAAACATTAAATCTGTTACGAAAAAAGAACTAAACAAAATGAACACAAAACGATCAGCTTTAAAAAAGGACTCATAACTGGAAAAACCGAAAAAAAAAAAGAATGTTAACAAATACTTTTTTCACACCCAACCCAGTTCTATGGAATCAGAATCAACGTTGAGTTTAAGCAAGCGAATGAGCCAATTGGAGTAAAGTGCCATGCAGATTTAAATTTTTCCCACTTGTGACGAATACAGTTATCGATGTTTTTTGCATGCTAATTAACATTTGTGTCAGTCAGCTGTTGGCTCTCATGCTGGCCAATAGAATCTTCCTGCCTAATCGTGGCTCTCACTCTGGCCAGTACAAAATGGCTGCTAACTACATGAAAACTGCCATAGAAGCATGAAAAAATTGATTATTTCCACTATCGATGGGAGTTGGGAAATGCAAAGTCAGTCTTGGCCTTCCCATTAACTTGGAGCATGTGCATGTAAATTTTGGTGCAAATCCGTCGAAAATTGTGGCCATGCATTCGTTACACACACACACACACACACACACACATTCTGCCTTTTATAGATAGAAGATGAAGCAGTGGATCTCAGAAATTTGATAATAGTGTTGCTTTACTATGAAATTTCAAGCACAGTTTTCTGTCTCTTCAACACTGTTGTATGTTCACAGAAAGTTTGTCCAAATAGGTTTTCATGCTTTATTCAGCATTTCTAATGTGATCTTTTTTTGAGTCCTTGTTCCTACTGCTCTCTCAATGATTGATTCTACCTGTTTTTTTTTTTACTAGCAGTTGAGATATTCCATTAGCTCAAAGTCAAGGAGGAGCTTAGGATTAAATGATAGTAACCATTAAGAGTTAGTCCTCCGCAAACACTTACTTGAATTATTTCCTTGTTTTTACAAAATAAAACTGTTTCATATGTTGAACAAAATAGAAGACATGTCAGAAAAACAATATTAAAATAATATTTCTTATTCCTTGTTGCTTAGGCACTCTGTCATGGTGTATTGGTTAGCAAGCTTGTCTCACTAGATCAATTACAACGAAGTAGCGAGTTCAATCTTCACTGGGTGCCTCCCATACTTTCGGCCTTGTGTCACATCTAAGCTATGCTTAGAAAATCATTTTGGGCACTTTAACATGGTGTAATGGGTAGCAAGCTTGTCTTGCTAAATCAATTACAACTGAACAGTGAGTCCAATCTTCACTGGCCTTGTGCCACATCTAAGTTATGCTTAGAAAATCGCCTTATTCCTTGTTGTTATATGTATAATAAATACGTTTTCTATAAAGATGACTTAATTATGAATACAATCTAAGAACAGAGAAGAATGTAAACTAATGCTAATTATATTAAATACGAGCTTTAGCCTATTTTTGTCATTTTGATTCAATAAAAAGAGCATAAATTCCTTCTAATGCATATTAAAAACAAGAAAGCAAGGAAACAGAATTCCTTTATTCAAAATAATAATAGTCAGTCTCTCTTTTTGCCACTCACCTCATTTGCATGTGGTGTTGTTGCTTTGAATTCTAGTAAGCTTTCCACAGACTTATGATATGACTGAACATCCTTGGAACCAACTTGCCTTCGGAATACAAAATCTGTAATATTTTTCATCTTCATTTTGTTACCATGACAACAGGTGGTTTTCTAAAAAAAAAAAAGGAAGATATTTTACAAGATATATGAAAGTAAAATAAAATCAATATGCAAGAAAACAAAAAAGCTCATACAAGTAAAAATCAATATCCCACTTCTAGCTTTAGTTTTCACATTTTAAGTAAAAAAATAATTAAGTCTTAAAAAAATAACAAAACATCATTTAAGTTTCAAAATGTTATCCAAGAATAGAGAAGCAAATAATAAACAAATAAACATTAATGTGTTGTACTCTTAATTACAATACTGAGATCTACATCAATTTGTATGGATAAGTTACTAAAGACTGTATATTTTATGAAATTAATTGTTAATTGTAGCTTTTTTGATGAAAACTTTCACTATGAGTACCAGAAATTCAAATATCTTAAATACACCTAAGTCAAAGATCATTCTTAGATTTATATTAAAAGCATAGTAATTCCACCTCACTCTCAAAACGGATAATAAAATTTGTATTTACACAAGACAAAAGTAATTTTGAATCTGTTTATCATTTGAATTGTGTTAAAAGAAATTAGTAATTTATAATAAAAAAAATTAAGCATGGTAATTTGCCAGACTGAATAAGAAAAACAAAAAAATGTATCTAATAAAATAAAAATCTAAAAACAAAACTAAAGATAAAATAATAGAGCAAAATAAGCTAATAAAAAACAGGGTAAAACTGGAGTAGAGTTTTTCTTTTAATTGGAGTGATTATAGTCTTACTTACTACTGAAAGCATTTTTTCTTTCTTTTTTTTGTCATTCTTACTGTGTTTCTAGGACCATAAACAAAGTAAATCACACCATTTAACATACATTTTCAATTTTTCAATAAAATAAAAGAATATTTGTCACAACCTGAACTGGATTGGAATTCAGTTTGTATTACAGTTCAAATTCCCAGGTAGAAAAAATAAAAACATTGTGTTCTCCAGAAATTTATATTATCATATTTTCTCTAAGACAGTTTATGTTTTGTGTGAGGTTTTATTTCACAAAGATAGATCATAATTGCACAAGTTTTTCTTTGGTAGGTAGGTAGGTAGGTAGGTAGGTAGGTAGGTAGGTAACCCGTTGTAACCTACAAAAACACTAACAGAAAATTTGTCTGGTGGATTAAAATATGGTCAATTCCAAGCATTGAAGGACATTAAAATTAAACACTTAACCACGCGCTATGCATGTTTGACAAAAAATAAAAAATAAATGATAACCTCCCTTGGCAACTATAAATGTAGAGCCCTGCATAGACATGCATTTTTCTTTTTTATGACACCTGAGGCATCAGGCATTGACTCTGACCCTCTCTAAGAGTAATGGAGAAGGTGCAGTCTGGGGAGATGAACCTCTGGAATTGGACTTTGGTTAATTAATTTCTACCTCAGGGTCAAAGAGGCCTCTAGAATTCAAGCTTTCTGTCAAGTTCTTCATCCAATGTTTTGCATTTCTTTTTCTAAGCATTTCTCTTCAAACCTGTTTGATTTTTGAATGAAAAAGTTTGAGGAAATAATTTTATTTTCTCAAACTTTTCTAGGGTAAAAAAAAATAAATAAATAAAAACTCTTTAAATAAATTAAATCATAAAAATTGCACTAAAAATTTTTTTGAAATCAGATAATAATCTTTTTTTGTTTAGCGTGATTTTTAAAATAGTTGTTTATCGGCGGAAAATTTCCACTTGCGAATTCAGAACAACACAGTAAACAACTTTTTTCAAATTAGAATATCTCTGCTTCTATACACTTGTTGATGCAAATAACTTTTAGGTGAAGGTTTTCTTCAATTTTTCTTCTTGCAAAGAATAAAGGACGAAAAAATTAACTTTTGCATAAGTTTAGGGCGCTTTTTCCATCATCTACCGATTTGTTTTTAGTCAAGCGCGCGTGCATGGAGGTAACTAACAGAATGTTGAAATAAAACTAAAACATCTTCATAAGCAAACTTCGAAATTAAAGATTTACATAGTAGAAGATTAAATTTTAAGATCTTTTTTTTAACCATACTTTAATTCTTGAAGTTTAATCATAATGGTACCTCCTTACATAAACTACTAAACTAAAAACAGTCTGAGTAAAGTAAAGTAACACTAAGCGTTTAAAAAGCAACAAAAGAATCAAAGCGAGAAAAGACTATAATTAATTAAATTAAAATTAATATTGTACTTTCGGTATGTTGTTTTATTATTTTCTGAAATAAGTTTTTAAAAATACACTGAGAGAAAAAACAAACAAAGTACTTTTTTAAATTTATTTATTTAAACAAACTTAAAACTGCATAATTTTTTTTTTAACATTTTGGTTTGTAAATAATTTTCTAAACGACAATAAAACTAAAACCAAATAGCAGTCAATTCGATTAAGCGTTGTTTTAGGGAGAAAGGATAGAATAATTTTTTAGCAGTGATAAATCTGAAGTCATTTTTATAAAATAAATAAACAGATAAATGATAATTTACACTAGTTACACAGTTAAACAGTTATGTTCAATCAAGGAAGTAGAAAAAATAATAAAATTTACGTAGTTTTAATGGTGAGAAGAGACAAAAGTTTACGGAATGAATTAAAAATTAATCATGTTATTGTCCTGAAATAAAAGAATACTGAAACTGAAAGAAAATAAATTTTTGGTCCCACCTTTATTGGCGGTTCAGGATACATCTTTTGTAGAAAAAAATTGCTAAAATTCTTGATGCACAAGAATAAGACTAGGTAACGAAAAATATATCCGAATGAATTGCTACAGAAATTTTGTTTATTTCCAAATAACTCTATAATTTTAGAATATACATTTTAAGAAATATACTATATGAAATCCGGCAATTGTTTTTAAAAAATAGTGAGAGAGAAAGAGAATAATAAATGAATCTAGTTGTATAAATTCTTAACTTGAGCAGAAGGCCGCCATGCTGCTAACAACAACAGGAAGTGCAAACCGAGTGATAACACTGCACTGAATAGTTTCGATGTAAACCATAGGATACAAATGTTAGATTAATTTAATTTCAAAAATATTAGTTAGGTAAGACTGATAAAAAAGAAAAAAAAATTCATTATCTTAGAAAAAATTAGTTAATTTTCTTATAAACCTGGGAACGAAAAAAACAAAATATATAAAAAATAAACTCCAAATGGTGATGATGATGAAATGAATGAATCAGTGCGGGAGCTAGAAATTGATGAGGTTTTGAATTGATTTTCCCAAAAAGTTCAAAATTAAAATTATTATTTTATTTCATTAAAAAAGTAAATGTTTTATCAATTAATTTTAGAGGTTCAATTAAATAAAATACAAATTCATGAATTATAGATTCCAAATATTTTCTTCTGTATTTCTAAATTCATTGATCACATTCTGAATTCTAAAACTGATAATTTCCACAAACTTAAAATTTCCCAATTTTGGAAAACTGAATATAACCGACATTACTAATCAAATATAAAATAAAATTTGGGATATTTATAACATAAAGAGTATAAAAACATGTTTGAAAATAAATAAAAAGCAATAAACCTTCATATTTTTTATATATTTTTTTAATTTTTTTATACATTTTTTTATGCAGCTTCATATTAAAAACACATCAAGTCTATGTGACTGGGTAAAATATCAAATGACAACAAAGATAACTTCTAATAAAAGAAATCAATCAGTTTTGAAACTTGTACAAACTAGACTATTTAACAAATTGTATAACTTAAAATAAGGCACATGATCACATAATCCATATTAAATATTAATAATTTCTATTAAACAAGAAACAAGATAATCCAATATGATATGTTATCTTTTACACACACAATGTGCATGCATATTTTAAAAGCTTAAACAAAGAACTTGCATTGGCCTCCAAATTTGCACAATGAAAAATTGCTTTTTTTACCAAAATTATCTTTTAAATTTCATATATATATATGTGTGTGTGTGTGTGTATTAGAGAAAGAGCAACAAATAAAATTTAATGTTCAACTTATATGTTTTTTTAAGGTTTGAAACAGATACTAAAATATTTTTTGTCAGGGTTTGATGCAAAATTCTATGTTGGGACAAGTTGAACATTTAATTTTCCAATTATTAAAAAAATATCTTTGAATATTAGGATGTCTAGGTTTGTAATAAGTAAGCTCAGGATGTCTTTCAAAAAAAGAACCAAATTTTGAATTCCAGATAAGTTCATTTTAAATTCACTTATTTCCTAATTGTAAATAGTGTTAAATCTTTTAATTTCTTTTTATTTCATCTAGTTATGGGTTAAAAAGGAAACAAAAGAGCTCTTCATTTTCAAGAATGGCAAGCAGTTTATGAAAACAACTTCCAAAATCATATTATGCCCTGTAACTCCATATTTATATGCATTTAATAAATGGACCATCCAATAAAAACTAATGACTGTGAACCCAACTACAGTATTGATTGAGCACTTTAAAAACATCAAAATTTTTAAAAACATTATCCTTCTGAAATACACTTTTGATTTTTTTATTTTTCAGAAAATCTTTATTATATATATATATATATATATATATATATATATATATATAATAATGATCAAATATATTTAAGGAACTGTCTACTATTTGTCTAGCCAATTTTTATTTAAAGATGCTCGCTCTATTTTTAATTTATTTGCTCAATAAAACAGAAAATATGGTTTTATACAAAACTATTTTTCCAACCTTATTTTACAGTTTCTGGGAGAGAAACATTTTATTATCTAATGGATCAACAATTTGATGAAATCCAGCACACTCAAGCACATTGATGCCATGATGAAAAATGTTTAAAATGCTACAAGCTATTAATGACCCATAAGCATATATATATATATATATTATATATATATATATATATATTTTAATATTTATTTAAAAATTATAATATAAATACAATTTATAAATTTCACTTAAAAAATATTTCTTATTTTGTCTTTTCAATTTTAAAAGGTGTCTTATTCAAATTGATAAACATGTCAAAATTATATATATATATATATATATATATATATAT